CCCACACCAGTCAACTAACACCCAGGTACCCATTTTATACTGATGGATGAACAGGGACAGCAGGTGTCTTATGGAAACACGTCCCTAATATTTTCCAGCAGTACCGGGGATTCGAACTCCGGACCCCAGTGAGGTGAGTGCGCTAACGATCAAGCCACAGGACACCCAACTGTACCCTATAGACTCCTGACAATCTCTCTCATGGCATAAAGCATCTGATGCAAAGATTCATCTCAGTCTGTAGGAAAATGCTGGCAGTAAGTACGCATCCTGGTTGTCAGATTTTGGTGTAACTTCTCCAATGCTGATGTATTGAGAAACTTATGCAACATATGGGAGTCTTGTCGGTTTTCGAAACCATTCATCACTTTCCAATGCTCCTTGAAACTGATGATTAAGCTCTGAGGTAAGTCTTTATTTAATACCTAATCAGCTCATTGCTTCTCTAAATGTTTTAAAATTAATGCCCTGTCACTTTGAATATTTCTTTGAGTTCTCATTTGGGATATGAATCTGACGAGGACTTTTAAGGTGGCCAACATTCTTGTCAGACTTTCCTTTGGTCATTGCCTGAGTTACGGCCAGAACTGGAGAAGGGGTAGAGCTTCCGTGTTTACAATAGGATGGGGACACAATCTGAAACACAAAACATCATTATCCAGTAACAGTGCCCCGTGTGCCCCGTGTGCCCCGTGTGCCCCGTGTGCGATCAGGCCAGGGTGCCCCCTGGCCTGATTACTGAAGCTCTCGCTTCACACGGCGAGGGTCTGTGTTCGATTCTCAGCGCGGGTAGAAACATTGGGCGTGTTTCTTAACACCGGTTGTCTATGTTCATCCATCAGTAATATGGGTACCTGGGTGTTAGTAGACTGGTGTGGGTCGCATCCTGGGTGTTAATGGACTGGTGTGAATCGCATCCTGGATGTTAGTGGACTGGTGTGGGTCACATCCTGGATGTTAGTGGACTGGTGTGGGTCACATCCTGGGTGTTAGTGGACCGGTGTGGGTCAAATCCTGGATGTTAGTGGACTGGTGTGGGTCACATCCTGGGTGTTAGTGGACTGGTGTGGGTCACATCCTGGGACAAAACTGACCTAATTTGCGACAAATGCTCAGCATAACAAGTGACTTTCTATATAGTAGTATGTCACTGATGTCAGCTATGACCTGTATACCTTGTACATGTACTGGTAGTAAATAAAGATTATTATTATTATTATTATTATTATTATTATTATTATTATTGTTTAACTGGGCATGCCCTCGATACACCTACAGTTAAATAGCCAGTGCAGTACTGGCTTCTACTATAAATTCTATGTAGGGGAACGGAAAAGGGTCCCCCTCCTTAAGTCTCGTAGGAGAGACAGTAAACACCAGTGTCCATGAAGGTGGTCACTTGTATGGGAGAATCCAGCACTGTTAATGCTATCTGGTGCTGTGCAAGCACCTACTTTACTCTGGTTACTGATGATATTTACTAATGCCATTGGGTTGCTAAAAACCCGAATTATTCGCCTCACCTTTTATGAAAGATTCTTGAAACTTCAAGTAATTGGTCTTAATATGGACGGGCTTACAACCTTGTCTCGTGCACCTTTGTGGTCTTGAGGTCCCAACTTCCATTCTTGGTCTACCAACGGTATCTGCTAACTTGGTTACGCTCTATCTAGACCCTAACCTGATCAACAGACTCTGGAAAACTGTTATTAGTAAAGAGTTGCAGTAACTCGCAAAGGTTAGACACTCCAGCTGCCTTTTATCACTGGGTGAGGTTGTTGGTCTGGAACTCAACGAAGTCACCACAAGACTGTCCATTTTGACGCTTCTGCACCTTTAATTTTCGTCGGTATTTGGCAGGTATACACCGATATCCAGATAGCACCAACCAGAAATATAAACCAGTGCTTCCTAATGAACGAGTGACCAATGCACAGTTCGAGGCTGTTTTTCCAGAGACTCGAAAAGCTGTACAGACTTACACAGAGAAACAACGTACCGAGGACACCGACCTTCAGACATAGAAATTATTTTCCTCACATTTCTTCCATTGCAAAAGCACTTTGTTTCCCTAGTTTATTCAGGCTGACTGACCTTGAGATAGACCAGGAACACCATTAGTTTGTGTGACAGGAGGAGGATCGGGGAGATGCTCGTACTATCACGAGTTCGATCCCCTGTACCGGCGAAAACATTTGGGCGTGTTTCTTTAAGACACCTGTTGCCACTTCACCTAGCAGTAAGTAGGTACCTGGATGTTAGTCGACTGATGTGGGTGATATCCTGGGGACAAAATTAACCCAAGTTGTGGGAAATGCTCAACATAACCAGGAACTTTCTGTATAGTATGTCATTGGTGTCAGCTATGGTCTGTTTAAGTTGTACAATGTACTGCTAGAAATAAAGATATTATTATTATTATTATTATTATTATTATTATTATTATTATTATTATTATTATTATTATTATTATCATGGGAGATAAAGCAGGGCGTGCAGCTGAAGCACCAGATTCAAACGCCACACTGTACGATTCGGAGCTTAATTTAATACGCATTTACCCACATAATTGAGTAGCTGTTATTATACGTGGATATTCAGTGCTAATTGAACGAACGATACACCAGCAGCTCTTTAAAGACAGTCTATCTCTACAACAACAATAACAATAATAATAATAATAATAATAATAATAATAATAATAATAATAATAATAATAATAATAATAATGTTTATTTCTGCAAGTACATGTTACAACTTTTACCTGGAGTTTACCTGGAGAGAGTTCCGGGGGTCAACGCCCCCGCGGCCCGGTCTGTGACCAGGCCTCCTGGTGGATCAGAGCCTGATCAACCAGGCTGTTACTGCTGGCTGCACGCAAACCAACGTACGAGCCACAGCCCGGCACCTATTTACTGCTGGGTGAACAGTGACAGCAGGTGTAAAGTGACTAACACACAGGTACCTACTTTTAGGTGAACATGGACAGCAGGTGTCTTAAGGGAACACGTCCTGATAATTCCACCCGTACCGGGGATCGAGCCAAGGACCTCAGTGTGTGAGCTGAGTGCGCTACCACTCTCATTACCAGCCAACACTGAAACAACCATTACTGTATTACTATAACTACTGTACAAATATCACCACTGTAAAGCACAACACCACTGTAAAATGTCCAACACATGTATACATGCGCAACCACATTGTAACACTGTCACAACCACCACTGTAACACTGTCACAACCACCACTGTAACACTGTCGCAACCACCACTGTAACACTGTCACAACCACCACTGTAACACTGTCACAACCACCACTGTAACACTGTCACAACCACCACTGTAACACTTTAATAGCCACCACTGTAACACTGATACAACCACTACTGTAACACTGTCACATCCACCACTGTAACACTGTCACAATCATCACTGTAACACTGTCACAACCACCAATGTAACACTGTCACAACCCCCTCTGTAACACTGTCACAACCACCACTGTAACACTGTCACAACCACCACTGTAACACTGTCACACCCACCACTGTATCACTGTCACAACCACAGCTGTAACACCGTCACAACCACCACTGTAACACTGTCACAACCATCACTGTATCAATGCCACAACCACCACAGTGATGGATGTGGTACTGGAAAACCTCATGGACCAACATGTTAAGGACACTACCAGAGAGAGAGAGGAAGATGAACCAGCAAGACTGGACCTTGTGTTCACCCTGAGCAGTTCACACATCGAGGACATCACATATGAGAGGCCCCTAGCAGCTAGTGACCACGTAGTTCTGTACTTTGAATACAGTAGAGTTACAAGTGGAGAGGATAACAGGAGTTGAATGGGAAAAGCCAGATTATAAAAGGGGGACTACATAGGTTTGAGGAACTTCCTGCAGGAGGTTCAGTAGGACAGAGAACTGGTGAGAAAGTCGGTGAAAGAGATGATGGAATACGTAACAACTAAATGTAAGGAGGCAGAGGATAGGTTTGTTCCCAAGGGCAACACAAATAGTGGGAAGACCAGAACGAGCCCTTGGTGCATTAGAGCATGGAAAAAGTACAGAAAGCAAAGAACACAGAAAAATAAGGAGATTAGTCGAAGAGCCAGGAACGAGTATGCACAGGTAAGGAGGGAGGCCCAGTGACAGTATGAAAATAACATAGCATCAAAAGTCAAGTCTGACCCGAAACTGTTGTATAGCCACATCAGAAGGAAGACAACAGTCAAAGACCAGGTGATCAGACTGAGGACAGAAGGTGGAGAACTCACAAGAAACGATCACGAGGTATGTGAGGAGCTCAACATGAGATTTAAGGAAGTATTTACAGTAGAGACAGGAAGGACTCTGGGAAGACAACACAGAGGGGAACACCAACAGGGAATATACCAACAAGTGTTGAATACATCCCTTGACACTGGGCAACTACCTGAGGTATGGAAGATGGCAAATGTAGTCCCCATTTTTAAGAAAGGAGACAGAAACGAGGCACTAAACTACAGACAAGTGTCTCTGACGTGTATAGTATGCAAAGTCGTGGAGAAGATTATCAGGAGGAGATTAGTGGAGCACCTGGAACAGAACAAGATTATAAACGACAACCAGCACGGATTCATGGAAGGAAAATCCTGTGTCACAAACCTTCTGGAGTTCTATGACAAGGTAACAGAAGTAAGACACGAGAGACAGGGGTGGGTTGACCATTTTCCTGGACTGCAGGAAGGCCTTGCACACAGTTCCTCACAAGAGATTAGTGCAGAAGCTAGAGGATAAGGCACGTATAACAGTGAGGACACTGCAATGGATCAGAGAATACCTGACAGGGAGGCAACAACGAGTCATGGTACGTGATGAGGTATCACAGTGGGCGCCTGTGACGAGCGGGGTCTCAAAGGGGTCAGTCGTAGTACCAGTGCTATTTTTGATATATGTGAATGACATGATGGAAGGGATAGACTCTGAAGTGTCCCTGTTCGCAGATGATGTGAAGTTAATGAGATAAATTAAATCAGATGAGGTTCAAGCAGGACTTCAAAGAGACCTGGACAGGCTGGACACCTGGCCAGCAACTGGCTTCTTGAATTCAACCCCGCCAAATGCAGAGTCATGAAGATTGGAGAAGGGCAAAGACCGCAGATAGAGTATAGGCTAGGTGGACAAAAACTGCGAACCTCAGTCAAGGAGAAAGATCTTGGGGTGAGTATAACACCGAGCACGTCTCCGGAGGCACATATTAACCAGATAACTGCTGCAGCGGCGCCTGGCAAAACTGAGAATAGCGTTCCGACACCTTAGTAAGGAATCGTTCAAGACACTATACACCCTGTACGTCAGGCCCATACTGGAGTATGCAGCACCAGTTTGGAACCCACACCTAGTCAAGCACGTCAAGAAATTAGAGAAAGTACAAAGGTTTGCAACAAGGCTAGTTCTGGAGCTCAGGGGAATGTCCTACGAAGAAAGGTTGAAGGAAATCGGACTGACGACACTGGTGGACAGAAGGGTCAGGGAAGACATGATAACGACATTCAAAATACTGCGTGGAATAGATTAGGTGGACAGAGACAGGTTGTTCCAGAGATGGGACACTGAAGCAAAGGGCCACAATTGGAAGTTGAAGACTCAGATGAGTCAAAGGGATGTTAGGAGTTATTTCTTCAGTCATAGAGTTGTCAGGAAGTGGAATAGTCAGGGAGGTGATGTAGTGGAGGCAGGAACCATACACAGCTTTAAGACGAGGCATGACAAAGCTCAGGGAGCAAAGAGATAGAGGACCTAGTAGCGATGAGTGAAGAGGCGGGGCCAGGAGCTGAGTCTCGACACCTGCAACCACAATTAGGTGAGTACTGTCAAAACCCCCACTTGTTCATAAGTGGTACTTGTTCCTCCATTACACTGTCTCTCCTCCAGTACACTGCCACTCCTCCAGTATACTGCCTCTCCTCCAGTATACTGCCTCTCCTCCTGTACACTACCTCTCCTCCAGTACACTACCTCTCCTCCAGTACACTGCCTCTCCTCCAGGACACTGCCACTCCTCCATTATACTGCCTCTCCTCCAGTACACTACCTCTCCTCCAGTATACTGCCTTTCCTCCAGTACACTGCCTCTCCTCCAGTACACTGCCTCTCCTCCAGTACACTGCCTCTCCTCCAGGACACTGCCACTCCTCCAGTATACTGCCTATCCTCCAGTTACTACTGCTCTCCTCCAGTATACTGCCTCTCTCCAGTATACTGCCTCTCCTCCAGTACACTGCCTCTCCTCCAGGTAACTGCCACTCCTCCAGTATACTGCTCTCTCCAGTACACTGCCTCTCCTCCAGTACTCTGCACTCCCTCCAGTATACTGCTCCCCCAGTACACTGCTTCTCCTCCAGTATACTGCCTCTCCTCCAGTATACTGCCTCTCCTCCAGTATACTGCCTCTCCTCCAGTATACTGCCTCTCCTCCAGTATACTGCCTCTCCTCCAGTATACTGCCTCTCCTCCAGTATACTGCCTCTCCTCCAGTACACTGCTTCTCCTCCAGTATACTGCCTCTCCTCCAGTACACTGCTTCTCCTCCAGTTTACTGCCTCTCCTCCAGTACACTGCCTCTCCTCCAGTATACTGCCCCTCCTCCAGTACACTGCCTCTCCTCCAGTATACTGCCTCTCCTCCAGTACACTGCCTCTCCTCCAGTACACTGCCTCTCCTCCAGTATACTGCCTCTCCTCCAGTATACTGCCCCTCCTCCAGTACACTGCCTCTCCTCCAGTATACTGCCTCTCCTCCAGGACACTGCTTCTCCTCCAGTACAGTGCCTCTCCTCAGTACACTGCCTCGCCTCCTGTACACTGTATCTCGTCCAGAACACTGCCTCTCCTCCGGTATACTGCCTCTCCTCCAGTACACTGCCTCTCCTCCAGTATACTGCCTCTCCTCCAGTATACTGCCCCTCCTCCAGTACACTGCCTCTCCTCCAGTATACTGCCTCTCCTCCAGTATACTACCTCTCCTCCAGTACACTGCCTCTTCTCCAGTACACTGCCTCTCCTCCAGTACACTGCCTCTCCTCCAGTATACAGCCTCTCCTCCAGTATACTGCCTCTCCTCCAGTACACTGCCTCTCCTTCAGGACACTGCCTCTCCTTCAGGACACTGCCTCTCCTCCAGTACACTGCCTCTCCTCCTGTACACTGTATCTCGTCCAGAACACTGCCTCTCCTCCAGTATACTGCCTCTCCTCCAGTACACTGCCTCTCCTCCAGTATACTGCCTCTCCAGTACTGCCTCCCCTCCATTTACACTGCCACTCCTCCAGTATACTGCCTCTCCTCCAGTATACTGCCTCTCCTCCAGTACACTGCTTCTCCTCCAGTATACTGCCTCTCCTCCAGTACACTGCTTCTCCTCCAGTTTACTGCCTCTCCTCCAGTATACTGCCTCTCCTCCAGTATACTGCCTCTCCTCCAGTACACTGCCTCTCCTCCAGTATACTGCCCCTCCCAGTACATCCCTCTCCTCCAGAAACACTGCCTCTCCTCCAGTATACTGCCCTCTCCATAACTGCCTCTCCTCCAGTATACTGCCTCCTCCAGTATACTGCCCTCCTCCAGTACACTGCCTCCTCCAGTATACTGCCTCTCCTCCAGACACTGCTTCTCCTCCAGTACACTGCCTCTCCCCCAGTACACTGCCTCTCCTACAGTATACCTGCCTCTCCTCCAGTATACTGCCTTTTCCTCCAGTACACTGCCTCTCCTCAGTTCTCTGCCTCTCCTCCAGTATAACTGCCCCCCTCCAGTACACTGCCTCTCCTCCAGTATACTGCCTCTCCTCCAGGACACTGCTTCTCCTCCAGTAACTGCCTCTCCTCCAGTACACTGCCTCGCCTCCTGTACATGATTCTCGACACTGCCTCTCCTCCAGTATACTGCCTCTCCTCCAGTACACTGCCTCTCCTCCAGTTACAGCTCTCCTCCAGTATACTGCCTCTCCTCCAGTACACTGCCTCTCCCCAGTTCACTGCCTCTCCTCCAGTTTTACTGCCTCTCCTCCAGTACACTGCCTCTTCTCCAGTACACTCCCCCCTCAGTACACTGCCTTCTTTCCCAGTATACATGCTCTCCTCCGTATACTCTTCCTCCATACACTGCCTCTCCTTCAGGACACTGCTCTCCTTCGACACTGCTCTCCTCCAGTACACTGCCTCTCTCTTACACTGTACTGCCAGAACACGGCTTCTCAGTATACTGCTCCTCCAGTACACTGCCCTCCTCAGATAAACTCTACTCCAGTCACTCCCTCTCCTCCAGTTACTGCCTCTCCCCCAAACCCATGCCTCTCCTCCAGTACACTGCCTCTCCTCCAGAAAACTTGCTCTCTCTGTACACTGCCTCTCTTCCCAGTATACACCTCTCCTCTAGTACACTGCCTCTCTCCAGTACACTTGCCTCTCCTCAGTACACTGCCTCTCCTCCAGTACACTGCCTCTCCACCTGGTACAACCTCTACCCATATAGCCTCTCCTCCAGTACACTGCCTCTCCTCCAGTACACTGTTCACCTCAGTGCATTGCCTCTCTCCATACCTGTCTTCAACAGCACCCTCCGTAACTGCATATCCTCGTATATGCTCTCTCCAGTACACTGCCTTTCTCCAGTACACTGCCTCTCCTTTTACACTGCTGTTCTCCGGTACACTGCCTCTCCCCCAGACACTGCCTCATCCTCAGTACATGACCTTCTCCCCCAGTACACTGCTCTCCTCAGTATACTTACCTCTCCTCCAGAAACACTGCCTCTCTTCCAGCTACGGGCCTACCCCTCGTACACTGCTCCATCCGTACACTGCTCTCCTCCATGTACACTGCCATCCTCCAGTACTGCCCTCTCATCCATACACTGCCGCTTCTCCAGTAACTGCCTCTCTTCCAGTATACTGCTCTCCTCCAGTACACTGCTCCCACTTCAGAAATTATTCACTGAAATGGTACTAACCCTGGTCACAATCACACCTGTTACTCACACCTGGTCACTCACACCTGGTCACTCACACCTGACCACACCTGTCACCACCTGGTACTTCACACTGGTCCCCACATACACACTGGTCACTCACACTGGTCTGACTCACACCTGGTTACTACACTAGCACTCACACCTGTTCCTCATATCTGGTGTCTCACAACTGGTCATCACACTGGCCATCACAATTGGTCATCACTCATGGACTTTAACCTGGTCACACATGTCACTCACCCTGGCCTCTCCACTGAAAACGCACATTCCTTACCTTCTCTCATACTGGTCTCTTCACATGTTTCACATCTGGCTTACCTGGTCACACACACCGTTAACATTGGTGTGACTTACACCCTGGTACAACTCACCTGTTCACACTCGGTGGTGACTTACACCTGGTCACACACACCGCCACCTGCTACCCTGGTGGTGACTTACACCTGGTCACACCACACCTGTTTACACTCAGGTGGTGACTTACTCTGGTCAATCTGTTCTCACAAGGTGAGTGACTTACCTGGTCAGACACACACCTGTTTAACTTCAGGTAGTGCTTAACCTGTCACACACTCACTGCTTACATCAGGTGTGGACTTTCCACCGGTCACATACACACAACCACACTGTTCACACTCAGAGGTGACTTACTCCTGGTCACACACACACTGTTTAACTTCAGGTGGTGATTACACCTGGTCCACACACACACACACCTGTTCCACAGGTGGTGACTTACCTGGTCAACACACACTGTTTTACACTCAGGTGGTGACTTACACTGGTCACACACACACACCTGTTCACACTCAGGTGGGACTACACCTGGTCCAAAAACACTGTTCACACTCAGGTGGTGACTTACACCTGGTCACACACATGGTCACTAAGACATTTCCTTGCAGGTACACAGTGCCACTGGCTTGTACAGGTGGACGGTACTTGGTCTGCTGCCCACCCAGGTACTGAACTGTTACCTGGGTACCACTGTCAGGAACCTGGACGACGTTGTCAGCCAGTCAGCCTCCGCCAGTGTTACCGGTTGGGGGGTGTTTGCTGTCCAGGTGAGTGTGTGTTGTCCAGGTGAGAGTGTGCTGTCCAGGTGAGTGTTTGCTGTCCAGGTGAGTGTTCGTTGGTCAGGTGAGAGCGTGCTGTCCAGGTGAGTGTTTGCTGTCCAGGTGAGTGTTCGTTGGTCAGGTGAGAGCGTGCTGTCCAGGTGAGTGTTTGCTGTCCAGGTGAGTGTTTGTTGTAAAGGTGAGAGTGTGCTGTCCAGGTGAGTGTTTGCTGTCCAGGTGAGTGTTTGCTGTCCAAGTGAGTGTTCGTTGGCCAGGTGAGAGCGTGCTGTCCAGGTGAGTGTTTGTTGTCAAAGGTGAGAGTGTGCTGTCCAGGTGAGAGTGTGCTGTCCAGGTGAGTGTTTTGCTTGTCCAGGTGAGAGTGTGCTGTCCAGGTGGGGTGTTTTGGGTTCCAGGTGAGGTGTGCTGCCCAGGTGAGAGTGTGCTGCTCCAGGTGGGGTGTGCTGTCCAGGTGGAGTGTTCTTGTCCAGGTGAGAGCGTGCTGTCCAGGTGAGTGTTTGTTGTCCAGGTGAGAGTGTGCTGTCCAGGTGAGAGTGTGCTGTCCAGGTGAGAGTGTGCTGTCCAGGTGAGTGTTTGTGTCCAGGGAGAGTGTGCTGTCCAGGTGAGAGTGTGTTGTCCAGGTGAGAGTGTGCTGTCCAGGTGAGAGTGTGCTGTCCAGGTGAGAGTGTGTTGTCCAGGTGAGAGTGTGCTGTCCAGGTGAGAGTGTGCTGTCCAGGTGAGAGTGTGCTGTCCAGGTGAGAGTGTGCTGTCCAGGTGAGTGTTTGCTGTCCAGGTGAGTGTGTGTTGTCCAGGTGAGTGTTTGCTGTCCAGGTGAGTGTGGGTTGTCCAGGTGAGTGTTTGCTGTCCAGGTGAGAGTGTGTTGTCCAGGTGAGAGTGTGCTGTCCAGGTGAGTGTTTGCTGTCCAGGTGAGTGTGTGTTGTCCAGGTGAGTGTTTGCTGTCCAGGTGAGTGTGTGTTGTCAAAGGTGAGAGTGTGCTGCAGGTGAGTGTTTGCTGTCCAGGTGAGTTTTGTTGGCCCAGGTGAGAGCGTGCTGTCCAGGTGAGTGTTTGCTGTCCAGGTGGAGTGTTCGTTGGTCAAGGTGAGAGGTGCTGTCCAGGTGAGTGTTTGCTGTCCAGGTGAGTGTTTGTTGTAAAGGGGAGAGTGTGCTGTCCAGGTGAGTGTTTGCTGTCCTGGTGAGTGTTTGCTGTCCAGGTGAGTGTTTGCTGTCCAGGTGAGTGTGTGTTGTCCAGGTGAGAGTGTGCTGTCCAGGTGAGTGTTTGCTGTCCAGGTGAGTGTGTGTTGTCCAGGTGAGAGCGTGCTGTCCAGGTGAGTGTTTGCTGTCCAGGTGAGTGTTCGTTGGTCAGGTGAGAGCGTGCTGTCCAGGTGAGTGTTTGCTGTCCAGGTGAGTGTTTGCTGTCCAGGTGAGTGTTTGCTGTCCAGGTGAGTGTTTGCTGTCCAGGTGAGTGTGTGTTGTCCAGGTGAGAGTGTGCTGTCCAGGTGAGTGTTTGCTGTCCAGGTGAGTGTTTGTTGTAAAGGTGAGAGTGTGCTGTCCAGGTGAGTGTGTTTGCTGTCCAGGTGAGTGTGTTGTCCAGGTGAGATGTTTTTGCTGTCCAGGTGAGTGTGTTTGTTGTCCAGGTGAGTGTTCGTTGCTGACTCCAGGTGAGTGTGTTTGCTTGTCCAGGTGAGTGTTTGTTGAAAAGGTGAGAGTGTGCTGTCCAGGTGAGTGTTTGCTGTCCAGGTGAGTGTTTGTTGTCAAGGTGAGTGTTTGTTGTCCAGGCGAGTGTGTGCTCTGCAGGTGAGTGTTTGCTGTCCAGGTGAGTGTTTGTTGACCAGGCGAGTGTGTGCTCTGCAGGTGAGTGTTTGCTGTCAAGGTGAGTGTTTGTTGTCCAGGGAGTGTGTGCTTGCAGGTGTGTTTCCCAGGTGAGTGTTGTTGACAGGTGAGTGTTTTTGCTCTCAGGTGGAGTGTTTGCTGTCAAGGTGAGTGTTTGTTGCCAGGGAGGTGTGCTCTGAGGTGAGTGTTGCGTCCAGGTGAGTGTTTGTGTCCAGGTGAGAGTGTTTGTGTCCATGTGAGTGTTGCTGTCCAGGTGAGTGTGTTTGTGTCCAGGTGAGTGTTTGTTGTCCAGGTGAGTGTGTGTTTGTTGTCCAGGTGAGTGTGTTGTCCAGTGAGTGTTTGTATCCAGGTGAGTGTTTTGTTGTCCAGGTGAGTGTTTGTTGTCCAGGTGAGTGTCTTGCTGTCAGGTGGAGTGTTTTGTTGTCCAGGTGAGTGTTTGTTGTCCAGGTGAGTGTTTGCTGCCAGGTGAGTGTGTTTGTTGTCCAGGTGAGTGTTTGCTGTCCAGGTGAGTGTTTGCTGTCCAGGTGGGTGTTTGCTGTCCAGGTGAGTGTTTTGTTGTCCAGGTGAGTGTTTGTTGTCCAGGTGAGTGTGTTTGTTGTCCAAGGTGAGTGTTTGTTGTCGAGGTGTGTGTTTGTTGTCCAGGTGAGTGTGTTTGTTGTCCAGGTGATTTGTTTGTTGTCCAGGTGAGTGTGTTTGTTGTCCAGGTGAGTGTTGTTGTCCAGGTGAGTGTTTGTTGTCCGAGGTGAGTGTTTTGTTGTCCAGGGTGTGTGAGTTTGTTGTCCAGGTGAGTGTGTTTGTTGTCCAGGTGAGTGTGTTTGTTGTCCAGGTGAGTGTGTTTGTTGTCCAGGTGAGTGTGTTTGTTGTCCAGGTGTGTGCTTGTGCCAGTGAGTGTTTGTTGTCAGGTGTGTTTGTTGTCCAGGTGAGGTGTTTGTTGTCCAGGTGAGTGTGTTTGTTGTCCAGGTGAGTGTGTTTGTTGCCCAGGTGAGTGTGTTTGTTGTCCAGGTGAGTGTTTGTTGTCCAGGTGAGTGTGTTTGTTGTCCAGGTGTGTTTGTGTCGGGTGAGTGCGTTTGTTGTCCAGGTGAGTGTGTTTGTTGTCCAGGTGTGTTTGTTGTCCAGGTGAGTGTGTTTGTTGCCCAGGTGAGTGTGTTTGTTGTCCAGTTGAGTGTTTGTTGTCCAGGTGAGTGTGTCCAGGTGAGTGTTTTTTTGTCCAGGTGGAGTGTTTGTTGTCCAGGTGAGTGTGTTTGTCCAGGTGAGTGTTTGTTGCCAGGTGAGTGTGTTTGTTGTCCAGGTGAGTGTATTTGTTGTCCAGGTGAGTGTGTTTGTTGTCCAGGTTAGTGTGTTTGTTGTCCAGTGAGTGTGTTGTTGTCCAGGTGAGTGTGTTGTTGTCAAGGTGAGTGTGTTTGTTGTCCAGGTGAGTGTTTGTTGTCCAGGTGAGTTGTTTGTGTCCAGGTGAGTAGGTTTGTTGTCCAGTGAGTGTGTTTGTTGTCCAGGTGAGTGTGTTTGTTGTCCAGGTGGTGTGTGTTTGTTGTCCAGGGGGTGTTTGTTGTCCAGGTGAGTGTGTTTGTTGTCCAGGTGAGTGTTGTTTGTTCCAGGTGAGTGTGTTTTGTTGTCCAGGTGAGTGTTTTTTGTTGTCCAGGTGAGTGTGTTTGTTGTCCGGGTGTGTTTATTGTCCAGGTGTGTGTTTGTTGCCGGTGAGTGTGTTTGTTGTCCAGGTGAGTGTTTTTTGTCCCAGGTGAGTGTTGTTTGTTGTCCAGTGTGGGGTGTTTGTTGTCCAGTGAGTGTTTGTCAGTGAGTTTGTTGTCCAGGTGTGTTTGTGTCCAGGTGAGCGTGTTTGTTGTCCAGGTGAGTGTGTTTGTCCAGGTGAGTGTGTTTGTTGTCCAGGTGAGTGTGTTTGTTGCCCAGGTGTGTGTGTTTGTTGTCCAGGTCAGTGTTTGTTGTCCAGGTGAGTGTGTTTTTTGCCCAGGTGAGTGTGTTTGTTGTCCAGGTGAGTGTGCTTGTGTCCAGGTGGTGTGTGTTTGTTGTCCAGGTGAGCTGTTTGTTGTCCAGGTGTTTTGTTTGTTGTCTAGGTGAGTGTTTTGTTGTCCAGGTGAGTGTGTTTGTTGTCCAGGTGAGTGTGTTTTGTTGTCCAGTGAGTGTGTTTGTGTCCAGGTGAGTGTGTTTGTTGTCCAGGTGAGTGCGTTTGTTGTCCAGGTGTGTTTGTTGTCAGGTGCGTGTTTGTTGCCCAGGTGAGTGTGTTTGTCATCCAGGTGAGTGTGTTTGTTGTCCAGGTGAGTGTGTTTGTTGCCCAGGTGAGTGTGTTTCTTGTCCAGGTGTGTTTTTCCAGGTGAGTGTGTTTGTTGCCAGGTGAGTGTGTTTGTTGTCCAGGTGAGTGTTTTTTGTCCAGGTGTGTGTGTTTGTTGTCCAGGTGAGTGTTTGTTGTCCAGGTGAGTGTTTGTTGTCCAGGTGAGTGTTTGTTGTCCAGGTGAGTGTTTGTTGTCCAGGTGAGTGTGTTTGTTGTCCAGGTGAGTGTTTGTCCAGGTGAGTGTGTTTGTTGTCCAGGTGAGTGTTTTTGTTGCCCAGGTGAGTGTGTTTGTTGTCCAGGTGAGTGTGTTTGTTGTCCAGGTGAGTGTGTTTGTTGTCCAGGTGAGTGTGTTTGTTGTCCAGGTTAGTGTGTTTGTTGTCCAGGTGAGTGTGTTTGTTGTCCAGGTGAGTGTTTGTTGTCCAGGTGAGTGTTTGTTGCCCGGGTGAGTGTGTTTGTTGCCCCAGGAGAGTGTTTGATGTCCAGGTGAGTGTGTTTGTTGTCAGGTGAGTGTTTGATGCCCAGTGAGTGTGTTTGTTGTCCAGGTGGGGTGTTTGATGTCCAGGTGATTTGTGTTTGTTGTCCAGGTGAGTGTGTTTGTTGTCCAGGTGAGTGTGTTTGTTGTCCAGGTGAGTGTGTTTGTTGTCAAGGTGAGTGTGTTGTTGTCCGGTGAATGTTTGTTGTGAGGTGTGGTTTGTTGTCCAGGTGAGTGTGTTTGTTGTCCAGGTGAGTGTGTTTGTTGTCCAGGTGAGGTGTTTGTTGCCCAGGTGAGTGTGTTTGTTGCCAGGCGATGTGTTTGTTGCCAGGTGGTGTGTTTGTTTGTCCAGGTGAGTGTGTTTGTTGTCCAGGTGAGTGTGTTTGTTGTCCAGTGTTTTGTTTTTGTTGTCAGGTGAGTGTGTTTGTT